TAACCGCGCGTCTCCCCGCGCCTCTCGCTGCCTTCCGTCCGTCCGCCGGCCGCCCCCTCGGCGGCGGTCTCTCCGCCAGCGCAGGCCGTCTGTGGTTGCACCCCGTGCTGCCGGTGCAGCCGAACGCCCGTGCGTGCGCTCCGCCCCGGGACTCCGCCCTCCGCCCTGCGCCCTCCGGTCCTGCCTCCGCCTGCCCCGTGCGCCCCGGCCCCGGCCCATCGTCCTCCGTCCATGGGGCTCTTTCCTGCCGGCCCTCCCCCGGGCGGGGGCGCGGCCTGTCTCGCCATCCCCGGAGGATGAGTGTTGGAGCGGCGGGGGCGCAGGGGCGGGCGCGGGCCGACCGGAGAGCTGCTACCCGGAGCAGCGGCGCCGAGACAGGGCGCGTCGCTGCGGCTCTAGGCGGGGCGGAAGGAGAGCGGCCGGTGAAGTGGACGTGCCCTGCGGCATGGGGGGCGCAGGGAAGATCGTGCGTGCCTATGCTGTGCGCCGGATGGAACGCTATCCTCCTGCATCCTCACGATTGTTTTAGCCCAATTTTAGAGGCCGGGAAACAGGTTCCAGCAAGGGGCGCAGGGTCGGTCTGGTTTTAAGGCTTGGTTTTGCCGCTTTCTTGCTGCGTCTTTGGGCCCAAGGCTGTTTCTTCACCCATGAACTGGAAAAGGTGTCTCCTGTACAGAATGACGTGTGAGCGTGTGGTTTACGTGCAAAATGCGGAACGCAGGCCCGTCCTGTTGGTGCCCGACCAACGGCAGCGATTATCGTCCTAGGAGAGACTGGGATTTGAACGCTGCTCTGCCCCTTCCTGAATCGCCCGTCCCTGCTTCCGTTCACAAAGACCAGCCTTTTCCTCTCCCACAGCCAGGACCGGGGAGTTTATGTTCCCCAGGGCCAGCCGCTGGTGTGGGCTTGAGGAGAAGCATCACTTACAACCGGGGTGCGTTTCCCTGTGTTCCCCAAGTGAACAGAACTTCACTTCTATTTTAGGAGAGGGTTTTGTTTTTTCTCTTGGTACTGGGAATCGAACTCGGGACCTTACACTTGCCAGTCAGGCGCCTGTGCCTCTGAGCTGTATCCCAGCAGTGTCATCCTGCTGAGAAATGGAGTCACTGCCACTGCTGATGTAATTAAGAGGAGACCATAGTGGCGGGGGCTGGGTTCCTCCTCCAGCAAGACTGGTGTCATGGTAAAGAGGGGAGGCACAGACACGCACATGCGGAACGCATCATGCAAAGATTGGCGTCTCTGCTTCCTAGGGCCCTCAGGAGGGGCATGGACTTGCGGGTACCTTGACCTTGAACTTCGGCTTGCAGAGCCAGGAGACAATAAATTTCTATTGTTTCAGCCACTCGGTCAGGGGCACTTTGTTCGGATGGCACCAGCACAACCACCACAGCACAGCAGCTGCTCGAGATGACCGAACAGGGCTCCCTGTGGGGGAGGCTGTGGTCACTGCAGGCTCCCTGGGCTGGCACAGAGCCTGGCCAGAGCAGAGGTTGTGAAGCCTTGGTAAGCTGAGTGTGAAAACGCTTGATACGTGTGCTCTTACATATGTGGGTGTTAGTCCACTTCTGTTACTGTACTGAAATACCTGAAACTGGCTGACTTTGTGAAGGAAAGAAGTTTGTTCTGGCTCAAAGTTCTGGATGTGCAAGGTCAAAGGGCCACATCTGACAGCCAGCGTTCCAGGGTGACACAGAGCATCACCAGAGGAGAGACAGAGAACATACATGAGTATCTCTCTCTTTCGGTCTTTTTGAGACAGGGTCTCACTATGCAGTTCAGGCTGGCCTTGAGCTCACTTTGTAGCCCAGGCTGGTCTCAAACTTGCAAAGATCCTCCTGCCTCAGCCTCCCGAGTGCTGGGATGACAGGTGTGCACCACCACATCTGATTTTTTTGTTATCTCATTCTCTTTGTAAAAAAACTAGGATTCAGTAATGCAGATTCTGCCCTGATGACCTTATCTAATCCTAATCACTCCCAAAGGGGAGGTTGGGTTAATTTCCACCCTGTTAATACCTTACAGTGGGGATCAAATTTCCTCAGGTCAGCCCTGGTGGACATGGTGATATTCCAAAGCACTCCACCCAGATAAAGATATGCAACATTTCCAGCCCCCAGATGGCCCTCCACCCCCTGCGCAGGGTACCCACTATCCTGACTTCTCTCCCCAAGCAGGGGTTTTGTCTGTTCCTGAACTTCACATAGATGGGATTATGCAGTATATACTTTTAGTGTCTGGTTTCTTTTGCCCATGATTGCCCATGATTTTCCATGAGGTTGATGCATCTTATTGAATATAGCTATAGCTCAGACTTTTAAAAAATTGATGTGTAGTATACCACTGTGCAAATGTATTAAAATTTATTTGCCCATCCTACCATCAATGGATATTTAAGTAGTTTCCAACTACTATAAACATTCTGTATGTGGTTTTTTGTTTTGTTTTGTTTGCTTGAATTTTTTTTTGGAAGCAGGGACTGAAGCACAGCCCTGCACATGCTAAACTACTGAGCTACACCCCAAGGCCACTTTTGTCAAGCTTACACACTCATTTATCTTAGAGTAGAATTGCCCGGACACAGCGTAGGCATGTGTTTTACTGTAGTAGAAATTGGCAAATAGTTTCCCAAAGTGGTTGAGCCAATGTATACCCCCTGACACCCTCCTCCAGTCACCAGTGTAGGAGCGCTTCAGCTGCTCCTTATCTTGATGTTGTCAGTCTTTTTATAGTCAGCCCTCCTGGTGGGTGTGTAGTGTTATCTGACTGTGGTTTTACTTTGCGTGTCTGTGATAGGTAAGGCTGCAGAATATGTTTTCATGAATCTATTATCTATCTGTGCTTGAGTTTTTAGTCCATTTTAAAAAATTAAGATATTTATACTTCCCTATTTATTTATCATGTTATTTATATATTCTGGATGACTCTTTCAATAGTTTTGTCTCACTGAAAATTTATACATGCATATATCAGTGGTCACTTCAAAGTTAAAATTGGACTGGGGATGTAGTTCAGGGGTGGAGCACTTGCCTAGCGTGTGTAAGGCCCTGGGTTCGATGCTTAGTACTGCCAAAAAACCAGTAACAACAACCATCAGAAAACAAAATAAGACGACAAAGTTCTTTGATCCTATTCATGGAAAGAAAAGCAAATTTTAATTTTAGAAAATGACTGCAGGTGATGCAGCACACGCCACATTCATTTCACGTGCACACAGTGGAGCGGGGCCCGCAAGGCCCGGCCTGAGTTTCAGCGTTGAGCGGAACATTCGCTCTGTGTGGTGGAGCACGCGTGGGGTGGGGTGGACACTGCGGCTGCTTCTCCCCCGTCAGGCCGGCAGTGATCGGCTCTGGCCCGCAGGCGGTAAGGAGCAGAGCGAGGCCCCAGGGAGGAACGGCCCCATCGGGACTCCCACATTCCGCACGATGCTGTTCCCACGTGTCTGTCACCTGGCAGCTGCCGGAGACCCGCAGGTGGTCAGGACGGTGGCCTCCCCCGGCGGAGCCACGGTGCGGGAGGAGAGCAAGATAGTCGAGCGAGCGAGTGCCAAGTGCCACAAGAGGCATCAGTGCGGCCGCTGCAAGAGGAAGGGGGGGACTTCCGCCTGTGCCTGGCGGTCTCAGCGCTGCGGAGTCCAGAGACATCGCACGGTGGAGCTGATGTCACCGCGCGGGGTCCCCCGCAGAGGGTGGCAAGAAGGACATTGCAGGCGGGGAGCCTGGTGCCGGGCCGTGAGCAGCAATCTCACCGCTGGAATGGGATTGTTGGGGACAGGGCAGGAGAGCCAACGTGGACCCACAGGTGGCTCCATGCCCAAAGAACGGAGCCTTTCCTCCCAGACTTCCAGCGTGTCCTGGCGCCTGGACCTGTCTTTCCTGTGGGTAATCTGTGGGTCACAGTTCTCTGCGTCCTCCTGTGCCAGGGTCAAGATGAACTTAGTAAGTGGTTCTTTGGGGAATGGCCTTTTCTATTTAGAGGAGTCACAATTTCTGACCCCTCTCCACAGTTACAACTGTCTACGAAACAGAGCACGCCACCTGGCCCTTAGTGGGTGCTCGGCCGGCGGCCAGCCCACCTTTTGCCGTACCTGAGAATTCTCCTCTAACAAAGAGGGGCCTGTGGCTCTGCACTGCTCTTCTTCTGGAGCTGGGATCTGGTGGGCAGAAGGGGAAGGAAGATGGTTCCCTGGTGCCCAGGTCTCTGGGGCCGGGAACGGGGAGCAGCAGGACAGAAGCTCTTGGAGCAAGGGTGCCCTGGCCAGGTGGGCTCGTCTGGTGGGGCAGGGCCCAGTGGGCTGGCGCACAGGCAGGTGGGAGAAGGTCATACCTGAACACCTGGGCCTGGGCAAGGGCTCTCCGGGCCTTGGTGATCTCCTGGGCCAGTCTCCTCAGGTCATCGCCTTCAAACAGTGGCAGCGGGGGGTCCTTGGGAAGGGGAAATGGGTCTGAAGTTTGCTCCGTTGCATGACCAGATGGGACCTGAAATCCCAAACCTCAGAAGTTTAGAGTACATGAAATGCAGCTTCCCAGTAAGGGAAGGAAATCTCGTGGGCCTTTTTCACATGCCTCTGGAGATGGGAAGCTTACCGCCTGTGCAGGCAGTCCTTCTGCGTACAGGACACTTTGAAACGAGCTATGCAGGAGTCAGTGTGGGAAGAGGGCAGGGGCAAAGCAAGTTGGACCCTGACCTTCAGGGAAGCCGGCACCTCTCCAGGACAACAGAAGTGGTGCAGACTCCTTACCTCATGGCTAATCACTCAGTAAAATGACGACAACTGAGATTTGGGATTAAAATAATAATAATTTTTGGTTTTTTTGTTTGTTTGTTTTCCGGTACCGGGAACCGAACTCATGACCTTGCGCTTGCCAGGCAGGCGCTTTGCTGCTGAGCTAAATCCCCAGCCCCAATAATAATAATTTTTAAAGGGTTGGAGATGTAGCTCCATGTGAAGGTCCTGAGTTCAGTCCCTAGTACCACAAAAATAAAAATGAGGCCAGGGTCTGGAATTTGAGTAGTTAATATTTTTAAAGCCCGCCTGAGGTCCTCTACTTTACTAGGAGAAATCAAGGGCTCACAAGATTTATTAGTTTGTAGATAACCTAGGACTTCACTGGATCTGTTGTTTACCAGATGATCTGAACACCTGTGTTTCAGTTAACTGAACGCCAGAGGACAGATCCACAGGAGTTAAAGCACAGAGGTCATGAGCATGGTGTCTTGGGCACCAGCTTCACCCCTTCCTCTCATTTCAGGCAGATTTCTCAACCTTTCCGAGCCTACTTGCAAATCTAAGTGAGTACACTGGTGCCCGGGAGTATGGAAACTCAGGTTATCTATTTAAAGCAAAGTACTTGCATGCAGTAAATGCTCAACAAATATAAGCTGATCTGTTACTGATGACACCCCCAAACCTGCTTCTTTTGCAACATGGAGAGGAGCCTCAGGGAAACACAGCGCGGGTTAAGCCCACACGTGTGAAGGTTTACTCTGCAGCCCCGCGCTCAGCACCTCGTGACCTACCCTTTCGTCGATGAAGCCCCTGGTGAGCAGGCCGCGGATCCTGCAGGATGTGTCCTCACTGACAGGGCAGTGGTAACGGCCGCCAGTGAGTGAGGCCAGCTTCTTCAGGAACTCAACTGCTGCGCTAGGGGAGGAGCAGAGGCTGGGGGCTTGTGAGGCTGGGGAGACCCGCTGAGCCCTCACCCAGGCAGAACTGAAGTCCCTAGGGCAAGGGAAAGCAGCCTGGCCGTGCCCCTTGGCTGCGCCACCGGGACCCCTGTGAGCATCACCAGGAACACTTCCTGGCCGGCTTCTGGAGCGGGACTGTGTTACTGTTCCCATTTGGCCTGGATCCCTCAAAACTCACGGCCAGCTCAGTCGGGTGCTTCCTTGGACATCTCTCCAGGGCCTGTGTGGGTTAAGCCTGAGCTTGCAATTTAGGCAAAGAGCGAAAGTGTGCCTAAGGAATAGGCTTGCTAGTAGTAAAGGGCTGTGTTTTGTTTGGGATCAGACCTGGAGCCCCGTACATGCTAAGCACATGCTCTACCGCCAAGCTGCATCCTCAGACCCTAAAGTTGCTTGTTTATTTTTGCTGGAGGAGCTGAGTCGTATCTAAGACGCATTCTTCTGTGGTGACTGTTGGTAAAAATACTGGTCCTACGTTAATCTGTCATGTTTTCCTCTCTAGACACACACAGAGGTGAACCTCCACATTCCCCCCACACATTCACAAACGTGTTCGCCAGAGAGGTCGTGAGGGAGAAGAGGACTCGCTATGTGAGTCGGGCCGCACTCGCAAAAGCCCAGGCTGTGGATGGGTCAGTGGGGCAGAGAAAGGGGCTGTGCTCTGTGTGTAACATTTCCCCAGACCCGCTTAAAAACAATGCATTTCCTATTTGCAGACGTCTAGGACAAGGGCCCAGGAGAGGTCGGTGTCTAAGGAAGGTGAGACGCTCAGATCCCCCGGCACCCCGAGGAGGCGGCCCTGGGGGAAGAAGCAGGCCCACCTGTCGGTGCCGCTCAGGGAGACGGTGTGAACCTTCACGTCCCTTTCCTCCTGGAGTCTTTGGACTGCATCAAGAACCAGGCTGCAGCTTGTGTCTGGCTTCCCGTCGGTCAGCAGGTACAATCCTTGCACGTCGTGAAAACTGAAAGCTTTCTGAGAGAGCACAGGGACGTTGTCACCCTTGGGAGGCAGGGCTCACCAGGAAGGGGGAAATCCAACTACCTGATAGTGGTCCCTGATGTCCCTGAGGAAAACGTGTGTGATTGGCTGCTACGGACTTGTCAGTTAAGACTGAGACCCCCATCTCAGCCTAAGGCCGGTCAAGGAAGTGCTGAGGGTTAGGGGTAAGAGCACAGCCTAGCTGATTAACCCCAAGTAAGTCACTTAACCGCTCTGAGCCTTTGTCTTCATTTTATTTATTTATTTATTTATTTTTGTCTTTTTTTTTTTTAGTACTGGGGATTGAACTCATGACCTTGCCCTGGCCACCTGAGCTATATCCCCAACCCTATTGTTCTCTTTTTGAGACAGGGTCAAGCTAGGCAGTTCAGGCTGGCCTTGAGCTCACTTTGTAGCCCAGGCTGGTCTCAAACTCGCAATGATCCTCCTGCCTCAGCCTTCTAAGTGCTGGGATCACAGGTGTGCGCTACCACACCTGGCTCTGTTTCCATTTTAAAGTGAGAATAAGAACCCTTTCTCGCTGGGTTGTTGGGAAGAAGAGAACATTTTGTAAATCACGCAACATCAGCATAGGGGACGCTGGTGTTTTTTCTGCTCTTCAGGGCCGGGTTCTTCAACTGGGTTCACTTGCCGAAAATGCTCGAAGGATCGAGGTGCTCCCCTGGGCTTGCAGATGGGTCACCCACTGCATAGCTGCGTGACACGCCGCATCTGTGGCCTCCACCAGGGTGTCCCGCCACGGCTCGAGGCTGTCTGAAAAGCTGAGCAGGTTAAAACTGGGAGGAGGAGAGATAAGGTGAGACGGGGGGAGGCGGGTTAGAACAGCCTGTGTCGAGTTCTGCGGGGTGACCTCCGTGAGCGCTGCTCACTGAAGGCCCCGGCGTGAGTGGCCCTGGGAGGGGTTGTGAAGCCCCGCTTGGCACTGACTGAGCGTGTGGTCTTGGGCACGTGTTCAGCCTCTCTAAGGACTGACGAAATCAGGCACGTAAAGCGCCTGTCACACCGGAAGTGCTCCGTGAATGAGTGTTTACTCCTAGTACTATTAAGACAGGAACAAGTTCCAGCCTCGAACCAGTATCTGTTGCTGTCCTCTTTCTGGGCAGAGAGGGAAACTTCCTACACTTAAAAAAATCAGGTTCAGATCCGGCATGGCGGTGCACACCTGTAGTCCTAGCATTCTGGAAAGCTGAGGCAGGAGGATCTCAAGTCTGAGCCCAGCCCAGGCAAGTTAGCAATTTAGTGAGAACATGTGCAAAAATAAAAAACAAAAGCAGGCTAGAATGTAGTTCAGTGCAGAGGCCCCGGTTTCAATCCTCAGCATCCTGGAAAAAAATCAATGTCAAGGTCTGGGGGTAGAGGCCAATTGCAGGGCATTTTCCTAGCATGAGAAAGAGCCTGGGTTTGATCTCCAGAACTGGAAAAAATGTCCAGCTGAAAACTGCAATTCAAGGCCACGTGCTGGTGCCTCTGCTGTGATTCTAAGTGCCTCTGGGCTGGCGATGGAACTCTAAGACACACTCATTTCCCTCCGCATCGCAGCAGGACGCGGCGGCCCCAGCTGCGCGGTGCCAGCGAGAAGAGCGTTTCGGAACGTCCAGGCTGGCTGGACCTGTGAGCAGGCGGTGTGCTTGGCTGGTGGAATCCCAGCGACTGCCCCCCACCCCACCCCGGCCCCGCTCCTGCCCCGGCCCACCTGTCACAGCGCTCCCGCAGCTGCTCCCAGATCAGCAGAACCATCTCTGCCTTCACCTGCTGCAAGTAGGGGCCCGTGGACCCGGACGTGTCCAGCAGGACGCACACTTTCTTCTCCAAGATGGCACCAAAGGCTCGGCGACTGCCTGTCCAAGCGGGACAGAGGCAGCGTCCTTCCTCCGTTCCACGGGGGCAGTGGCAGCGACAAACTGCCGCAGGGTAGACCAGCGCTCTCCGGGACAGGACGGCGCTGGCCGCTCCCACCGCCGAGGGCCTCCCGGGACTCACCTGGCGAGCTCGGACAGTGCCTCTGACAGGGGAGAATAAGAGGGAAGCCGGCCGGAAGCGGGTGGGGAGCTCCATGAGGATCCCCGCCAGCCAGTCAGCAGACAGAGGGACAGTGCGAGCTCGGCGGTTTACAACCCTGATCCAACTCTGCCTGCTTCGTCCCTCTCCATCCCTGTTGCTCTTCCCCAGATATCTTACTTTTTCTAGTACTGAGGATTGAACTCAGCACATTTACACTGAGCTATATTCCAAGACTTTTTATTTTTTTTTAATTTTGAGATAGTGTCTTGTTAAGTTGCTGTGTTGCCCAAGCTGAGGTTGAGTTTGTGATCCTCCTGCCTCAGCCTCCCGGTGTTCTGGGATTATAAGTGCTGTGCCGTCACGCCTGGCTTCCCAGCTATCTTATTCTTTCATCTGGGCTGTGACTCAGTCACTCTCGTTTCACTTCACCTTCCTGAGAATTTATTTTCCGAGTAGCGGCCACAGGAAGTTTCCCAAGCACTGACTTGATTGCTTTTCTCTTATTTAAAATCTTTTCATGGGTTTCTACCGCTCTGCTCTTAACAAGTAACAGTCTGTGCCATGGCCACAGCTCTCAGACGGCCCCCTGGGCCTCCCTCAGCCCACACCGGCTTCCTCCTTCAGCCTCTGCGCTCAGCTTCCTGCCTCCTGCTCGGCACCCAGCCCAGGCCCGTCCTTTGCTTTTGCCTGTTGACATCCGTGCAGTCTTCAGCTCCCAGCTCGTGTCACCTCCTCTGAGAAGCCTCTTGGACCTTCCCGGCCAGGCCGGTGCCTCTGTGAGCACCACGCTCCCTCGCTCACACTTGTCGCACTCGTGACACTAAACTTGTTTGTGATTCTTCCTTAACATCTGTCTCCTCCTGGACCGCGTCCTCCCTGAGCTCAGTGACCGTGGGGGGTTTTGCCTTTCACCTTTCTGTAGCTCCTAACAGGACAGGAAGACTTATTTGCTGAACTGAGAGAGAGAGAGAGACAGAGACATGGAAAGACAGAGACGGAGAGACAGAGATGGAGAGAAAGAGAGAGGCAGAAAGAGACAGGGAGACAGAGACAGAGTCAGACAGGGAGAGACAGAGCGAGCCCTACTCAGTTTAGAAGTATCGGTGCTCGGGGCTGGGGATTTAGCTCAGCGGCAAAGCGCCTGCCTGGCAAGCGCAAGGTCGTGAGTTCGGTTCCCGGTACCGGAGAAAAACCAAAAAAAAAAAAAAAAAAAAGAAGTATCGGTGCTCACGCGTAGACCCGTGTGCGAGGCGGGGCTCCAGCGCAGAAGGGGTTTCTGGAGCCTCTGTGCGGGGTCTGCATCCCCATGCTGGGGTTCGTGGGAACTGGGACGGAGGGCCCGCTCTCTCTGCTCCGCCCCAGCGTCTGATCTGACAGCCACACGTGGCATCGCGTCCGACTCGGAGGCTTTGGAAAGCAGCAGTCACGACACCCACCATTGCCCAGACATTTATAGCAGGAGCTGTGCCAGAGCTGAGGACTGCTTTGCCCCGGAACCCGCGTGGCCCACACAAGCTGCCCGCAGGACTCTGTGTAAGACCCCTCCTTCCTCCGATTGTCCCTGGAACCCCCCAGCCCACAAAGCCCACATTCTCTCGGCCCCAGATGGTCTTGGCACCCCAGCTGCCCCTGCCTTCCCTGTTTGCCTCCCTGGGCACTCTCCGTAATAACAGCAGAGGTTATCCTCGGTCGGGATCCCTCCTCTCTACCTTGATGGCGGTGTGACAGGATCCCTGTAAGGGGAGTGCCTCAGCTATGTGCAGGAAGGCACGGTGAGCCGATGGCCTTGCAGGACAGCCTGGACAGGTCTGAGTTCTCCCTGGAGTTCCGCGGCCATGCTTCCCCTGCCGCCACCCAGCTGAACCCCAAACTCATGCTGCTCACAGGTGACCCCCCGGCTTAATCCCCCGACCTACTATGCTGCAGGACCTGACCTTGGGTGAGGACTGGGCCTGGGTCCCTGCGTCAGCCTCCACTGCCCCGCGGGACAGCAGGCAGACTCACCAGACAGCAGCCACTGCAGCCGCTGGACGTAGCGCCTCATCACCTTCGTCAGGCACACGATGTACACGTCCATTTCCCTGAGCGTCCACTGAATGTGTCTCACCTCTCCCTGGGTCAAGGCAAGCGGAGGCGAAGAGCTGCCGCCCATCAGCCGTTTCACATTTTTATCACCCCCAAATAGTTTATTCCATTGTGAGCCACAGCTCCCAAACATCTGTTAGGCATACGTTGTTCTTTATGGAAAAGCTTTTCCCCTTCTATTAAACTACCAAGCTCACAGTTCTGCGAAGGGGTGGGAAGTGAGTGTGATGCCTTTGTGGCAATCACGTCACCGTAATTAACAAAACAAAAAACAAAAACAAAAACAGAAATCCCTACAGTACCTCCAAGTTTTAAAATAGAAAACCCTTAGTGGTGGGGTTGGAGATTCATAAATTTCAAACAGAAAGACTGCCCTGGTCAGAGGGGGCGCTATGCTAAAAATGACCAAAGTTCTTTGCATGGGTAATTCTGAATTTTGTGGCTACTTTTAGTTTCCTCTAGTGATATGATAATGTGATATGAAAGGGAAATTATTTTATTTTATTTATTTTACTTTATTTTTTGTCTTTTTGAGACAAATTCTTGCTGTGCATTTCAGGCTGGCCTTGAGCTCACTTTGTAGCCCAGGCTGGTCTGGAACTCACAACGATCCTCTTGCCTCAGCCTCCCAACTACTGGGATTACAGGTGTATACCACCATGCCCAGAGACTTTATTTTCACTTCGTACTAAAATTACTTGTTCCAGCATCAAAACAATGAAAAAAACCGACTACCCCCAAACTAGAAAATAGAGAAAGGAGCCCTGCCTCCTGCCCTCACCCCGACTTGCTGACGTCCGGGCTGAACATCATCAGCGCGGGGGTGTCTGGGTATTTTAGAGGACCACCTCAGCGATCGCCCATGTGCTCGGCACTTGTTTCTCACTCTCTCCCAGGGGCCTGTGTTCCCTGAAGAGGGATTTCAGGCCCTCGGGGGGCTCGATCTCTCCTCGAAACAGGATTCTGTGTCTCCTGGTGGGTGAGGGGAGTCCCGCTTCGGGGCTGGGGTTCTCAGAGCGTGGGTGGATGTGGAGGCCCCAGGCTCCGCTTTCTGCATTCGCAGCTGCCCCGGTCAGGGCAACAACGAGACAAGCAGACTTACCTTGATCTCCGCACTGGGGAAGGCAGCGCAGTGCTTGGCTGAGCTCTGGGTGGACCTCTGATGCGGGCAGCTGGGACCCAGGCATCTGGATATCTCCAGCTTCAGTTTTCTCAGCCCATAATTCGCCACCCACTTTAGAGCAGAGACAAGAGTGATCACGTAGGCAGTCAGGCCCGAGCGTCCGCCTCATCGGTCAGAACCTCACGTTTGAACAGCGGGCTTCCGGGTCCTCACTGAGCGCGCTCTGGGCGCGGCTTCTTCACCCAGCCGGGGGAAGAAGTGTGTGAGAAACAGAGAGCAAGAAACAAAATGTACGGGGCGCCTCCCAGTCCTTACTTAGGGGACATCGCTGCTCTCCGACATCTGTGTTAAGCCTGGGTGGAGAACCCCAGTGGGTTTGAAGTTCGGCCTCTAAATCAGCTAGGACAATGTCGTGTCTCAGTGGATGCCAGCATGGCAGGCTCAGGGCAGTCAGAGCGTGGCATCCTGGATGGACCAGTCAGAACCAGGCTCAGATTTTCACGAATGGTTGTAGAAAGCAAGATGGTGTGAACAAGAAGGAGATTTCTAAAGTGGGTATGGTGGTGCACGTCTGTTATGCTTGCAGTCAACAGGCTGAGGCAGGAGGATCGCCACAAGTTCACAGTCTGGGCTACATAGTGAGTTCAAGGCCAACGTAAACTATAGAGCAAGGCCTTGTTTCAAAATCAAACAAACAAAAGATTTCTACAACTTGCAACCAAAAGGATCTGATAGCATTAAAGCACTTCCCACAAAATGCACTTTAATCAGTTTTCACATCAACTGCCCCTGCCCCTAGGCTCATTTTTTTTTTTTTTAATTTTGAGAGGAGGTCTTACTAAGTTGTTGAGGTTCCCAGGCTGGGCTTGAGCTTGCGATCCTCCAGGCTTCGGCTGTCAGAGTGCTGGGGTTACACAAGCATCACCATGCCACTCTCATCTCCTGCCTTCACTTTACAAGGACATTGAGACTGCGTGTAGCTACACAACTTCCCCCAGATCACCTTGCCAGGAAGTGACAGGCCCGGGTTTTGAACCTGGGTCTGTTTGACTGTTATCATTTTTAGCAGGTCTATTCTCTTGTGAAGTGCACCCAACCTCCTAGAATTAATGGTTTGAGGAAGGGAAAGATTTTTTTTTTGTCTTTTTGAGACAAGGTCTTACTGTGCAGTTCAGGCTGGCCTTGAACTCACTTTGTAGCCCAGGCTGGCCTCCAACTCACAGCCATCCTCCTGCCTCAGCCTCCCGAGTGCTGGGATCATATGCCTGCACCACCACACCTGGTGAAGGAATTACTGTCTAGGTGGGTATGTGGTCAGGACAGCTGCATACCTCTTGGCTTGAGCAAACAGTGTCCTTCCTGGGCAACTCAACAGAAGAGCTGGCCCTGCTGATACTCCTTCCTTGAGGGTACTTCTTGTACACCGAGCCTAGGAGAAGCACAGCGAGGTCACCGTGTGCATCTTCCTTCCCCCCCGCTTCCCCTCACCACTCCTTTTCTAGGGGCAGCTTCTCGGCCGGTCAAGTCAGTGGTACGGGTCCTCAGCTGGAGTTTGCTGGGAGGCAAAGCAAGGCTACGGAGCAGATGGGCGGGGTGCCTAGGACCTCTCTTCCCACACAGCAGTGAGCGGCTGCTGGGTGGGGGCCATCTCACGGCAGTCCATCGGGCTGGCTGGGAACCTCCTCCACCCGCTTCCCGACCAGCCTCAGGGCTAAGGAAGCTGCCCCCGTGGGCAGCACCAGCGTGCCCAAGGACTGTGGGAGATCTCATCTTCGTACTGACTTTCCTCCTGCTCTGGCAGAGGCAAGACTGCAAGTCCACTTCCCTGGGCTGGAGAGCTGAGCTGTTTGGAGACAGGCCCGCTGCAGGGCTCTGCGGGGAGCGTAGGTCCTGGGGTGGCTGGAGGGGTCTCCTTGCCCGGAGGCCTGCTGCCCTTTCTTTCCCACAGGGCCAGGGGCAGTTCACATACTCAGGGAGTCTCTGCCGTACCTACGGCATTCCCGGTCTCTGTATAGAACGGGGAGAGAGCCGTCTCTGCTGCCCGTGCTTTGGTCTTCCTCCCCCCGTGTGCTGTCCCTTCTTTCACGGGCTGGGCTGGAGAGAGAGACGATTGGCTTGTTGGCCGGTGGCCTCAGAGATTCCTGTGCTACAGCCGCACAGCCTGACATAGCGACATCTCAGTGTCAGCTCTCCTCTACCCCGGAAATGGGCTCTAAGATGGCTCTGAAGCAAGCTCTTGCCCCCACTCTGAGCCCCTGGCCTCACCCGGACCAGCGGTAACCACAGTTACTGTCCCCAAGTCCTGATATGTGCCAGGCGAGGTGGTAATGCTCCATATACCGTGTCATTTCACCCTCATGGCCCCTAGGTCCTCCACGAGCTAAGCGGGAGTCGGGTTAGTAAGTACAGCAAAGATTTCACCCTGGTCTTGCTGACCCCGGAGCTCTGCCCAGAGCCGCCCTGCTGCATATGTGACCTTACAATAAAGGTACATGGTCTTAAGTTTATGAGCTGAGGGCTTTTGTAAAAATACTGGTTGGTTATCACAAGCCGTTGGCAAATTTCAGTCCCTGTGAGCATTAGTTCCTGGGGATACAGTGAGGGTCTTATAGAGAACGTACTGCACAGACCGGGACCCTCCTGGAAGATGGCGGCACACGATCACGACTCCTGGTCACTGGCGTCGCACTGAGGACCCCACACTGGGCTACATCCCGAGTCTCTTCTATGTGTCATTTTGAGACCGGGTCTTGATAAGTTGCTAAATTGCCCAGGCTGGGCTGAAACCTGCGATCCTCCTGGCCCAGCCTCTCAGAGTGCCGGGGTTACAGGTGTGTGCTACCTCGTGACCATTTCCCATCACGGCTAATCCACACCCCGCAGCGTCCAGGCCATCCCACCACCCACTGCCGGCCCACAGCCCGGCCTTACCCGAGGAGGCGCCCACTTTGCCGCTGAGCAGAGGACCTCTCGGAGCTTTGGGCGGCGGGCTCCTCTCTCTTTCTGGGTCTTCTTTAAGGCTCTAGAAAACAGGTCCTATTTCCCATCAGGGGCCTGCCTCTGTGGCAGGCGGCACCCCAGGCACCCAGCTCCATTCTGTCAACCAGGAGCTCTGGTAGGGAGGAGCCTAAGGCGTCAACTCCTTGTACGTGGAGGCCATCTCCAGCAGAAAACTCAGAGGGGCTCGGTCTGGGGTGAAAAGCCGTGACTGTCCAGGAGTGTGTGTGGTACCAGGCAGGACGAGAGCGCATGCCCAGGCAGCTGTGGGATTTGCGAGTTTTCCTCAGAGGTTTTCTGCCCCCCATCCTACTAGACTGAGATTTCTAGGTCTCCCGCACGACAAACTGTTCAGGCCATTTCGGGGCCTTCTTGGGGACCTGGTTTTATTGGGGGGGCGTTCTTCCTCACTGAGTACACCTGGAATGTGGCAAAAGTTAAACAGAGTCGTCAGGGCTTCATGCCAGCTTAGGGGACCTCCAGGTGAGCTGCCGTGGGAAGGGCCTGGCTGGGATTCTGCTAACTCTGGGGACCCCCAGTCTCGTGTCAGGAGGAGAACCTCAAGTTCTAGAGTTTTCCCCAGGATCTGGGAAGGCATAAGAGAGGGTGATGTAGAAGAAGCCGTTCGAGCTCGTCGGGTGAGGCCATGCCCGTGTGCGCGGAATCCCCCGGAAAGGCAGCCGCACACTGTCTGGGGTGGATGTGTTCACAGTGGAAATGTGCCGGGTTCACAAAGGCCTCAGCCAGTGAGCAGCTGAAGAAACCCTGGTTTCTCGGCCCCACGGCACTACTGCGGGGCAGGGGTCTCTCCGCTACAGGCCCCTTCTGATTTCTGAGGAGGGGTGGGGACGTATGCAGCACACCTTTGACAGGCGGTGGCGGGGGTGAGCCTCTGGCAGGCACCGGGCCCCCTCAGCCCCCAAGAGGCCAAGCGGAGCCTGGGCTTAGACGCACTCCTTCGCTCCCGAGGGACCCTCCCAGGATGAGCTATTACACGCAACCATGAGGGCCTAGTACCAGGCTAAGGAACAAACCCGGCACAGCCAGGCAGCACAGAAGGTGAGGTGAGGGAGGCCAGAGATGCCGCCAGAGCCGAGAGCAGAGCAGGTCCTCTCCTTGGGGCCAGGATGGGAGGCACCCATGGGACACACCGCGGGAGTCCCTGCCTCCACCCGAACTGCTCTGGGGCCTGCGAGCCTTGCCCTAGTCTCTTTAAGAGCTAGGAAAGACCAGGAAACAAACTGGAAACACAATGCTCCGTGTGTTATTAGGGGGAGGAGTCAAACCATTTTGGCCTTCGAGGGGGTTGTAGGCTTGGGAAGAGAGGATTTCTTGGGCTGACTTCTTTGCTTGAGCACCGCTGGCTTTTCTTTAGAGAGGGCTGCACCTTCCAGTTCTTTTCTCAAATGGTTCTTCAGGGAGGCCACCAGTAAGGCGCACTACAACAAGGATTGGGAGGGTTGGTCAGTGCTCCCCAGCCAGTGTGGACAGACAGACGGACATACACGGCAGGAAAGAGTGCCTGGCACCCGCCTATGCCGCTTTCTGTCACTAGAATGCCCTTGGGCTGAGTACTGAGGATCAACTTATGACCAATAATAAGTACCCTGAGAGGGAGGCCCGGGGTGCACCAGACACTGGGCTAGTTAGAACCCGCGAGTCACAGGCCCTCCTGCAGCAAGACATGCCGCCTAGGCCGCAGGGCGGGTGCTACCTGATCTCCACCCTACAGATGAGGAAACCAAGCCTCCGTGAGCTTAAGGCCCAAGCCCGTACTACTAGTAGGGAGAGGAGCTTCAGTTCAAACCCACGGTGCTCTGAGTCCGAAGCCAGGGGTCTTTCTTTGCATTTAAAACACCTGGGCAGGGCTGGGGATTCAGCTCAGCGGCACAGAGCCTGCCCAGCAAGCACAAGGTCGTGAGTTCAAGCCCCGGTACTGGGGAAAAAAAACCTCAACAAACAAACAAAACAAAACAAAACATCTGGGCATACACAGGTCCTGGCCAGCTCATCACGTGCCCAGGGCTGACTCCAGACCTGGAGAAAAATTACAATATAACGCTTATTCCTTTGCCGGCAAGTTTCTCAAAGGCCTGAAAACTTCTCCAGGAATTATTCTCAATCAAAACACCAGAGGACACTATTCAAAGGTAAATACCCTTCTCAAGGAAGGGTGGATTTAACTTTTTTTTTTTGTCTCTTTGAGACAGGGTCTCGCTATGCAGTTCAGGCTGGCCTTGAGCTCATTTTGTAGCCCAGGCTGGTGTCGAACTCACAACCATCCTCCTGCCTCAGCCTCCCGAGTGCTGGGATTACAGGCGTACGCCACCACGCCCTGTGATTTAACCATTTTTGTCCATTAATACTGGGGGTGGGTTTGTCAGCTGTAGGAATGGGACTGGTGTGTACTGGAGGAGGAGGGGTTTACAGAGTGCCAGAGGGGCCCTGTCAGAGAGGACCGCGAAGGCACCGTTAGGGGAGCCACAGATCCAAGGATCCACTAGCCTTGGAGGGAAAAAACAGGGAGACTGGTCCTGTCCTCCCGGAAGCACAGTTTAGTCGGGGAGATGAGCATTCTGCAAACGGTAGTAATCAGCACGGGAGTCAGGGTGAATCTTCACAGCCCTCCCCCGCCCGACTCCACCCAGCCCCAGGTGCAGGGCCCCAGACTCTCTCTCTCCAGCCCATCTTTTCCACCTGCCGCGAGGACACCCTCACTTGTCACTTCGCAGGCCCGTACAACTGCCTTTGTCCCAGGCGCCTTCCCTGACCTCCCACAGGCTCCTGCTGTCAGTGCTCCCTGAGATGCTCGCACGTCTGCTTCCTTATTTCCGTTCTCCCTGCTCGTTCTCCCTGTTACGTTCTTCCCGTAACAGAGCCATCTCCTGCCTTTAACGGCACCTGGTACTGTTCGCGTCCCCTGAGGAAGAGGTAGTATTTCACTGAGCCTTGCATGACGGACAGCAGGCTGTGGAAGCTCTGGGAGGGCAATGGCAGGCGGACGAAACAGCGGAGGAATGGCTTGATGTGCTCAAGGAACTCGAAGGAGGCCAGAATGCGTAGTATACAGAAGAAAAAAACAGCCACAGGAAGGAGACAGGAGGGAGCCTGGGCTCGGGGTGCGGCTCAGCGGTAGAGCCCTTGCCCAGCACGTCAGAGGCCGCAGATTTCCCCTCGCAGGTATAATTGGGAGGTAAGTTAAGATCAGGCCATACTGGAGACACACACACACAGGGAAGACCCCCATGTGAAGATGAAGGCAGCCATTGCAATCATGCTGCCAGAAAGGAAGGAATAAACGCCAGCGTGGCCGAGGATGTGGACCCCTCCCTGTCCCGAACTTCAGTCAGGCTCCTCTGAGCCGTGTCCTCAGCGAGGCCCCGCCCTAGACTGCGGCACCCAATTTTAGCAAAGAATTCTGCCAAGTCACCTTGGTGACAACAGCCCACCCTTGGTGTCTGATCAGGTTCTTCATCTGCCTCCTTGATGTCTAAGTCCTTGGCCTTCCTTTTAGCAAGGTTCTTGTTTAGCAAGAATTCCCTGCTCTTGACAGCTGATCATGTTCTTTTCAGTAATTTTCCATCCACTTGAGATGGGAAAGAAGAAACAAAGAGAACTAAAAAGGAGACAAGGAAAATTGTAGTTTTAAAGTTATTTTTAAGAAAAACAGAGTTCCTCAAGGTGACAATGCCCTTTTCTCTTATAAGAAACCCTAAAAAGTGCAACAGACATGCAGATTGGGCTTGTGCTTTTTGCTTGTAAATCGCCCTTCCTCCCACAGACTCCCAACTGCAAGCAAGCGCTATTAGGTGGGCAGAACTGAACTCCAAACACTTGCAAATAGTTCGCGTTCTGACATGGCCCCCCGGCGGGCAGCCTGACAGACCGTAGGAACGTGTGCCTTACATCGCCGATCTTTAGGGCTCCCCAAGACCAGATGGAAACCCCAGCCCTAGACCCTCCCGCGCCCCTCGAGGGCCTGCGCTCTGCTCTGACTGCATACTCCTTCGTTTCTGCCTCTCACCGACGTGTCCTGAAACCCTTTGTGTAACGTAAGCCGACAAACCTACAACACACCCCACGGGAGGGGCGAGGCAAGGCCCTCGTCTCCTTTTGGGGTGCCTGCCTCCTCAACCCCACCTGGTGTCACCCTGACTCTGCTCACGGGCTGAAAAGTCCCACTTGTCTTTGCCGTTGTCTGGAGTTGAGCTCGGTCCCTCTCCTCTATCACCATAGTCTTAAATGTGTAAATTCTTTGCCATTTGTAACAAACGTTGGGTACAATTTCCCCCTCGAACGTTGGCCCTCACCAAAGCTAGGAGGAGGTAAGGCTGCCCAAGGTACAGTCCTGCTGATGACCCTGGTTTCAGACTTGTAGCCTCCAGCAGTGTAAGCAAATAAATGCCCCTCACTGTAAGTCGCCCAGTGTCTGGTCCTTTGTTGTCGCAGACCCCGGAAGGGAGCACGGAGGCCGGCAGACGCTTGGCCCAAGCCCAGGCATACCTTCTGGGAGTAGTTGAGGGCCTTTTCCATCTCAGATTTGATGGCACTGATGTCATCACTCTCATAAATGCCTGCAAAGGAAGCACACTGTGGGTGTCCGGGAGGAGGTTGGGGCCCGGCCAGGCCCCACAATGGGATGCACACGAACCGTGTGGAGGCAGCTCAAGCCCAGAGACAAGGTGAGACGTCAGCGGGGTGGGCCGACCAGCCTCCCCCAACACTGCCCAGCGGGAGTGGTGCCCGGCAGTGGGGCTGGCCTGGAGCCCAGGGCCCTGACCCTCACCTACGGGAGGAGCGGATTAAGGGCAAAGGTCCCACCACTCTGTGGAACTCAAAGACCCACCCTGGGATGGTTTACAGCAGCCAAAGTCTGTCGTGAACACCAGTGTCTTTCCTGGCTGGGACACCAGACCCTAACGCAGGCCTGCCTGGGTTCAAGCCTTGGCCCTTGGGCTCTGTGTCTCAGTTTCCGATCTGTAAAATGGGGCCAGTGATCCCCTACTTCACTTGGTTACTGGGAGGAGTCAGCCGTAACAGATGGCCCCCAGGCGGGGGAAATGCTTAGACCTGTGCCTGGCACTTAACAGTGCTCTATTAAACATTTGCCATGATCAGTGATAATCACTGGTAAATGCACATGCCCGGCATTTTTCATGGAGAGAAAAAGCTGGGAAATGCCCAAGACTTTCAGCTCCTCTCATGCCATTGACTGTGACTGCAGCAGGACACCTCTCTACGAGTCCCCTCTTTGTCTGAGTCGGGGGGTTGGAAGCCCTCGTGTCGGTCCAGCTCGGTCACTCCCACGTGCTGACACGGTTTTCCTTTGTCTCTGTACCGCCTAAGCCATTATTACTTCACACACACACACACACACACGCACGCACACACACGTACATATGTATTTAATACATTCACTATTTGTTTACTTAAAAGTATATTTTTAAAAGAAAATTGATGTCACTGCCAACAACGGAAAGTCAGCATGTTTCTATGCTAAGTTAAAATAAGCGTGTAACTCTCACACACCCCAAAGCTGTACCAGGGGCTGGGGATTTAGCTCAGCGGCACAGCCCTTGCCTGGCAAGCGCGAGGTTGTGAGTTTGATTCCTGGTACCGGAAAAAAACCAAAACCAAAAAAATAAAAAATAAATAAATAAATAAAAATAACAAAAGCTGTACCATTTACCACTAACTGTGGGTCGCTTGTGAACACCCCGCACTCTGGGAAATGCTAATCTAAGAGGTCTTAAGATGCTTCCTAGATCTGATACTCTAAAATATTTTCAAATTTTACCTTGAAATTTTAAAGACTGCAGCAAAATATGCACGTTTGGTGCCAGGGCCTTGTGCATACAAAGCAGGAGCATCCAGTCTCCTGCTGGGCTACGCCCTCTGTCCTTGGTTATTGCAAAGTGTACGGTCAGCAGTTCATGCAGTCGTGCAACCACTGCCACTGTTCATTTCCAGAACAGTAGTTTATTTTTTATTTTATTTATTTTATGCTTGGGATTGAAACAGGGCCTCACAAATGCTGAACGCGCTCTGCCCCTAGTTTCATGGTACATTTTAAAATATGATTTTCAGGTTCTGCTTTTTGTGTCTGGCATGAGGGAGCTACGCTGCTGCGGAGACCACCTTCTGCAAAGGAGCGGGTGGGGCGGGGCCGCACTCACGCACATGTGTCTCCAAACCAGTGGAAGCGGCCACCAGTGGCCCAGGCGAGCGCCCTGTAGGCGCTGGCGGTGTCCGAGCGGCTGGCGTAGCAGGCGGGAGGGCTGCTGTCCATCTGCGGCTCCCCCACAGAGAAGAGACACACGTTCAGCTGCAGGCTGCAGCCCCCACAGCTTTCAGCCACGTAGGCGCTGAGTGTGGGCTGTGGGAGAGGAGAGGCAGCATGGGCCCACGGCCGAGGGCCTGGGAGCCGCCGTCTCCTGGCGGTTCAGCCTAAAGGGGTCTCCCCCCTCCCCTCCGCTGCCTTCCCTCTCCTCTTTCCTCTGCTGGCTCTGCTGTCTCTGTCTTTCTCTCTCCGCTCCGCTTCTTCTCTCTCTCTCTGTACTGGGGATTGAACTCGGGGCCTTAACGAAGCTACATCTTCAGCCCTTTAAAAAGTTGGTGTTTTTAAAAATTTGAGACAGGGTCTCACTAAGCTGCCCAGGCTGGCCTCGCGCTTGTGACCTTCCTGCCTCCCTCCCAGAGGAGGTGCAGGTGCGCACCACTAGCAGCTTCCTGGGAGTCCACTGTGTCTCTGGTCTAGTACTTGGCCCTGAAGACAGAAAGCGAGGAGTCTGGGTCGCAGTCTCTCTCACATCTTAACAGGGTGTGACTCGAAGCTGGAGCTCTGTGGTCAGAAAGTGGACTTCTGTGAGCTTGTCAGAAATGCAGCTTCGTGGTTCTGTCTAGACCTGCTGGCCCGGGAGCCACACGCTAACCAGATTCCCAGGTCTGTGGGCATGTTAATGCTCTAGCAGGGCTGGTTTAGAAAGTCACGCTGGGCTGGAAACACAGCTCAGTGGTAAAGCTTCTCCCTGACACGCAGAGCCCTGGGTTCAGTCACTGGCACCACCAAACGAACGCATAAATAAATGGATAATAAAACGCTGTGCTGGGGAAGTCGCTGTGAGGCGTCCACCCAGAGGAAGACAGCAGGGTCACAGACGCGACGATGCCCAGGGCCGGGGCCTACCCACCACATCCTGGTCAGGGATGCCCCCCGCGAGGAGGTAGATGCCCTGCGACTGGTGTCTGTCTTTGTCCCTGAAGTCCACCTCCACCGCCTTCCGCAGGGCGCCGAGGACGTCCCTGCTGCCTTGGCACTGCAGGCGCAGGGCCCACCTGGGGAGGAGGCGCGAGCGGAGGATGAGGCGAGGCCACCTCCGAGGCCTGAGGGGCGGGCGGCACACCGAAAGTTATTTTCTGACGTCTGCCCGTGGCTGGGAGCGAGGGGACCCTGGAGAGCCACTTCCCACTGGAGGCAGGGACCAGCGGACGGTAGCGCCCCCGTTCACAGTAGCGCCTCTGGCCTGGGGTCACCTACCTCCAGGCGCTCTGTAAGTTGTCATGGCTCGCGGGAACCAGCTCAGGCCTCCAGCTCTCGACTGCGCTTCCAAACCTGCGAAGCAAGCACGGGGCTGGTCACAGCGGAGCGTGTGTCCACGCTGCAGCCCAGCTCCAGGAGGCCGCCGCGGGCTTTTAGGGGGAAGATTCTGATAACACTCCCCAGTTAGGATGGCACCTGCTCAGCCAGCCGTGGGTTCTCTTGCCGGTCACGACCTGTCCCAGCAAGTTCCGGGTCGGGCAGAGCTGCGGCTCTCAGGGGAAACAGCGCGGAACAAGGGCCAGCTTTGGGCAGCCTCCTCTTCCTGACACATCACGCTGACCCGAGTCCCCGTGTCCCGCAGTGAGGATGCCCTGGGCGCGGCCCACGTGAACCCCCCACCATCCAGCGGTGTCTTTGTCGTGCACAGCTCTCCCTCTCACGCTCATAGGCACCCTGAGCCGCCTACTGATCACCCAGTTCCCGCCACACGCCACCCGCTGGGCCTCTGCTCACGCTGTCCCCTCCCCCGGAACGCCCTCCTCCCCGCTGCATCTCCCTAGGAGGAGGGCGCTGATTCAAGGGCTGCTTCCTCTGCAGAGAGCTCCTGGTCTCCCTGAACCCAGGCTGGATGGGCCGATCCTGCCTCTGTCCCCTCAGGGCCCCATATCCTGCCTTCTACCTATTTCCATAGAAATCACGCAGCTATACTTACTTTGTCTCAATATACCTGGCCCCCACTGTTAGGCCATAAGCTCCTGGAGGTCAGATATTGTGAGCATTTCTGAAGGCCCAGTGCCAGCACAGTGGTTGTACATGCAGGTTTCAGTGAAACTTCATCACATGAGTGGATGGGTAAATAAATGAATGAAAACATTGAAAATCTTTCCCTAAGCACCTGTGTGTGTGTGTGTGTGTGTGTGTGTTACTGGAGGTCGAACCCAGAGCCTTCCCACTGAGCCCAGTCCTTTTTTATTTTTGATTTTGAGACAAGATCTCACTAAGTCAGCAAGTTGCCCAGGCTGCGTTAAAACCAGTGATCTTCCTGCCTCAGCCTCTTGGAGTGCTGGGATTAGTGGTGTGCACCATGTCTAGCTCTCTAAGCATTTTTATGTTGAGCTTGTTAGAGAAAGATTAAGCTTTTTTAATAATAACTGATAACTTGAATAGGTTCAGAATATTCCCTATGTGGTAGAAATCATGTAAAACTCTATACTGTATTTCAAGTAGTTTCTTTTCTGTCTTCTTTAGTTAGATAAAAAGGTATGCAAACGAACTATAGATATGAAGTATAATTACATGTAGAATTTTAAAACTGTAATATATAACAAAAATTTAAGAAGCCATACATGTACATATAATTAGATATAACAATTTATATAATTTGAAAATTATATATATTTTAAAACTACATATATTTTACATATACTACATATATTTTATATATACCTTATATATATAATTTTTTAAGCTATTGTTTTAAAAAGCGTACACCATAGATAAAGTTTAAATTTATATATGTTAAATCTACATTTGAATTGGAATTCTAAAGGTTCAAAAAACTGTGGCTTGCTAGAACCAGGGTGAGACTGAGAAACTTTTCTCTGCTGTGTTTGTAGGGTCGGAAGCCAAATGGGGCAGTGGACTGAATTACTTGATCCTGGCTGACCAAGCGTGCTATTTTGGGGCCACTTACCACCTCGCCCCAGTGGGGGAGCCTGCAGCCGTTTAATTATTCAGTGCCCCACAAGATCTCCCACATCAGATAGAGTGGGGGACACCCTCGGATGCCGGGCGCTCCGAACATCAGTGTCCGTCCCCCGCTGCCCTCCGGGCGGTGGCCCCCGAAGGCACACAGTCCCCGACCCGCCGCACCCGCCTCTGGGGAAACCTACGCGATGAGGTTGAAGCAGTCCTTGTTGGACAGCTGCTCCTCCAGCAGCAGCCGCAGGGAGTGCTGGATATGAATAATGTACGCGGAATTGGCCACAGAGATATCGAGCAGTATCGCCACCCTGGAAAGAAACACAAGTCAGGAGGGGAACCGAGCCTCTCAGATAATGTTCATTTTGTTCCATTTTACTATTTAAAGTTTTTTCCAGGGAGACTCTGCATGCCAGACTCATTGAGGTCAAAGTCTTCGCCATGGTTTGAGGCCAAAGTGGTGGGTTTACGGTGGTGGACGAAGCAGCGCGTGCAGTCTCCTCCTCCCGGAGGTTCCATAACGGGACAAAGTCTCAAGATCGAGGTGGTTTAAGATCTGAGACTGCCTTTTATAAACTTCTCTGCTTCCAAGAACAAGCATCCATGTTTTCACAGGGCAGGGTGTTTGTGGGGAAAACAAACAAGGTGAGCGAGTGAGACGAGCTGGGAGTATCGGGGCCTCCTGGGAGTATCTGTGTCTTTGTCTGCACGACTGGAGATCTCCAGCTCCACTCCACCTTCCTCGTCTTCTATTATTTCTCAACTTATGTTCCTGCTTCCTCCTCTTGATTCTCATTTTGAGACAGTTATGGGTAATAAAAAAAATTCATTTGCTTTAGAACGAGAAGACCTTTTCCAAGTCTCATTTCCTACCAGCTGTGAGGCTTCAGGCAGGGCCCCAAACCTTTCTGGTCTTTGGTGAACTAAACTATAATGTCTCCTCATAGGGTTGTTTGAGAATTACATTATATAACTTGTGTAATATTACAAAGTATAACTTAGTACATGGTAATATGGCAAATAAAGGATGGAATGATAATTATGGTGGTATATATGTATATATTCTTTTTTTTTTGAGACAGGTTTCACCATGCAGTTCAGGCTGGCCTTGAATTCACTTTGTAGCCCAGGCTGGCCTCAAACTTACAGGGATCCTCCTGCCTCAGCCTCCTGAGTGCTGGGATTAGAGGCGTGTGCCACCACGCCCAGTGGTTATGGCTATATTTGGATACATATTGTCTCCCGTTACTCAGCATCCTCTTCCTTTTCTGGAAACTGCATCCCAGTTTTGCTTTGGGAAATACTACTTCTATCAGCTTGTTCGAGGTGGGTGAATATCCCCTCCAGGCCTCATCCTCTGGGCCAGAGTGAACGGCCCGGGGGTGGGAGATGCCCAAGCGCTAGGTGTGCTACACTGGTAGAAAGCAAATCTGGAGCTTTGGACAGCTGCCTGGCCACCTGGAGGGGAAAACCTTCCCACCAACAAGCCCGAAAGCCCACAGCCAGAAAGCAGGGCTGAGAGAGATTCCTGACGTGGTGGCGACGCTGAAGATGGCGATTGTATCTGTTCTGGAATTTGCTGTTGTCTTAGATTTCTCTGCTTTGTTTAAGCCAAGTTTTACTTTTTTTTTTGCTTTTTCTTCCCTCTTGATATTGAGACTTGAATCCAGGACCTCATATTTGCTAGGAAAGCAGCATTCTACTACTGAACTCTACTACTGAGCTACATCCCCAGCCCGGTTTCTCTTGCTTTTTTTTGTTGTTGTTGTTGTTTTGTTTTTGTTGTTGCAGTTATTTTGAGATGGGGTCTCACTGTTACAATAGTTCAGGCTGGCCTTGAGCTCACTATGTAGCCCGGGCTGGCCTCAAACTTGCAGCAATCCTCCTGCCTTGGGATTATAGGCGTGTGCTACTACACTCAGCTCATTTGCTTTTTAACTGTAAAAGAATCCTGAGGGACATAGTGATGATTCTGTGGATGTGGGTGATGCAGTGGTGACTTTTTCCTTCTCCAGGGAATCTCTGCTAAAAGATTGCTTGTCCCTAATCTAAGTCATGGCCTCTGAAGCTACTCACAGAGAACCACAGTTGGATGAGTTATCCGCCGTACATCAGACCACAAAGGACAAGAAAGTGCTTGGAAGAAGGTACCTCTTTTCACAGACAGTGCCCCAGATCCTTCTGCTGGCCAGGGAGAGCCACTCGATCCGCCTCTCATAGACCTGCATGGCTCTGCTGAGCTGTTTCTGGAAAACCAGAGAGAGACTGCTCAAAGGTGGACAGATAAGAGATCCTGGGGAAGGGAGGGCCCTCTGCACTCCAGCTGGCTTCCGGAAATGGCGCACCAAGGCTCTGAGTATCCTGGCTGTGTAAATATTCTACTAAGTTATGGGAGAGTATTCCACAAGACTAGGACAGGACGAGTTGAAATATTTCATTGTGTCAAATGGGGAAGGAAGTAGATCTTGCCTCACAAGAGTAGAGACCCTTGGTGGGGGCAGGTCCCTGCTGGGAGTACTGTTGCTAGGTGCTGCGCACAGTCCTTACCTCCTGTCAAGTTAAATCAATGGCTTGGTGTCTTCGCAGCCCAGGACATCATCCTGCACCTCACATTTTAGGTTTTTTGCGACAGGTTCTTGCTATGTAGTTTTTGAACGCACTGCCATGCCCCCTGCCTCAGCCTCCTGAGTGCTGGGATTACAGGCGCGTCCACCACACCCCACAGCGCACCACAGATTCTGAGTGATTGGACTCATCTCTGACCTGGTACTCGTAGAGGAAGGGTGGATCCACGTGGACATTCTTCACTGTCCCGTCGTGCCATTCAAATTGTACCATCACCTTCTGCAGTCCGGGGGCAGGAGCGGGAGCGGGAGCAGGGGAAGATAAGCACATGTGAGAAAGGAGTTTAATTTGGGTACTGCACTCTAAGTAAAGCTAGAGCATGGCAGGAAAGCAGATGAGTCCATCTGGGCTGGATCGCTCTACCTACCCACACACATGCCGCCAACCATTGACCGGGCCGCTGCCTGACCAGGGGCGGCATCAGGGTTGGTGGGCCCTGCCGGCTAGCAAGCCAGGCTGTTCTTGGAAGGGTACTCTGAGCCATTATGACAGGGTGGAGGGTTTGGGTAACATGGAACGAGGTCAGAGACCCTAAAACACAGCAGCATGGTCTCCCCGGTCTGCAAGGCCAGACGGGCCTTCCCGGACACGGACTGTCCGATCTGCCATCTGTTCTTTCGTCCTCCACCGAGCCTCACATCTCTCACTCATTGGCCCAGTCACCCCATTCATCCACCTGCTGCTGGAAGCGTACATCTCCGGTCCTGTCCTTCTCCTCAGCTTTCCACCCTCCTCTGTTCCCTTGTTAGCCCTTCCCTCACTTTGCCATCCTTCTTCCTTGATTTCTACTTTCATCCTTTGTCTTTTACTGCACCTGGTTTCCATCATTCTGCTTTCCTCTTCCGTCCTCCGCCTGTTTACATTTCTATCTACCATCCCCTGTCCCTCTCCATTCAGCACCCACCTATGGATTTCTAGTCATTCATCAACACTTCCATCCACCATTCTCCTCCTCCTTTCTCTCCTTCCTTCCTCTGCTCACCCGCCCAGCCATCCAGTAAAGTTTCCTTAACTGTACACGTGTAATAAACATGTGAGACACAGGTCGGAGAGGAGAGTTCTCTTAAAGAGTTCACAGCTGGTGGGGAGCTACATGCACCTGCACGCTACAGGAGCAATTGTAGAAGTCCAAACATGGTACGGGGAGGACAGCAAAGGCAGTAAGTCTGCCCTGTCTGAGTGGGGTGAGGAAAACCGTCACGAAGGAGGGGACTGTGGTACCTAATTCAGCCCATCTCCCCTCTCTCCAAAGCTTTTCATGTATTTGAAAATACGTGACAGTTACAAAGAATAGAGAGCTCTACGTGCGAATTACCTCATGGATAGTTGCCGATACTGTTTTCTGGAGAATAGGCACAAACTCTTCCACAGGAGAGAACGCGTTGGGTGCCAGAGCCTGGTACAGGCTTAATTTTTTGGCTGGAAAAGACAAGTGGAGTTTGAGGTGCTGCCCAGGAAGACCTCAGGGTCCAAGTCTTTTTGTCACTTGTGTCCTGGATTCCGCTCTCTTTGGGGATTTACCTTTTAGACCATTGATCTTTAGCCATTCTGCAGAAGTCTTTTCCAGGCCTGGGAACTCAATCGTGAGAGGCGCATCGTGCTTTGGGGGCTTAGGCAAGAGATTTGTGAGTGACTCTTGTGTGTAGTCCGTGGCAATCTGAATTAAATTAGAAAATTTACATTACACAATCATTTTGGAGCTGGGAAGATTTTACTGTCTCCCAGTTGCCCAGTCCCTTAGCGGAGCCTCTTAAGACCTCACCTGGTGTATTAAAGGCAGCTCTGCCTGTGCCCTCCCTCGTTTCCCCTTCTCCAGAGATCTCTGGAACTTCCAGGAGACAGAGATGCCCCCAAGTCCCCAGTAACTTGCTTCCTCTTTCTCTTGCCCCCTCCGTCAGCTGCCTCCCTGTCTTCACCACAGACTCCAGGACAGCGGGGCCCCTTCCGGGGCTAAAGGCTTCAGGATGCTAAAGACCGATTTCCACACCAAATCACTCAGGGACCGTGAGCTGCCCGGCCTCTCCTCCCCCACCGCTAGGAAGTGAAAAGCCGAGGCTCTGAGAGGCGAAGTCACACAGCCCGTGTGTACACGGCACAGAGGAAGGCTGTCCCCGAGCTTCCAGCGGTCCACACCACCTACCTCCTGCGTCATGCGGGCCAGCTCCTCACGGGGGCGGCTCCGGCGCAGGGCTTGCACGTGGCTGAGGAGGTCCCCGGCCTTCTGGATCTCTGTCAGCAGCTCATCCACATCCCGACTGGTGTAGAGCTGGGGACAGCGGGAGTGGTCAGCCGTCCGGAAGTCACTGGCCTACCAGCCGTGGCCAAGGCAGGAAAGGGCAAGCGGTCAAGTCAGTCCCGGCTCTGAGTAGCAACGTGTTTAAATCAGAAATTGCAAACCGGGGTCCACGTGCCAGACACAGCCCGTGGACGCGTCTCCCTCCACGCCATTGTGCTGCCATGCAGCGTTTTTAACAACTGAAGGGTTTTTCTAACTTTAGAACTGTGAAGGAGTCCTCGAATAGTGGCGCACACCTGTAATCCCAGCACTCTGGGAGGCTGAGGCAGGAGGACCACAGGTGAGGCCAGCCTGGGCAACTCAATGACTTAGTGAGACTCTGCCTCAAAAAAAAAAAAAACAACAAACAAACTGCTGGGCATGCGGCTGAGTACAAAGACCCTAGGTTCAATCTCCAGTGCTGAAGAAAAGAAAAAGAAAGAAAGAAGATTCCACACCCACGAGGACAGCCATGAAGACAATAGCAATCACAAACAAAAGGTAACACGGGTCGGTGAGGAAACAGAGAACTGGAGCCCGGTCCAGTGCTGGGAGAAACGCGAGACCGCGCAGCGCCGTGGAAACAGTTTGCAGGATTCTCACAACATCAGTCGGAATTAGCGTCACGTCCAGCAAGTCCACTTCTGTCATCTACTCCAGGGGAGGAACGTGGGGGCTCGGGTCCTTGCACACTCATCAGAGCAGTACTCATCACTGCCAAAGGGTGGAGACAACCCACACGCTCATCAAAACATGACCGGGTACTTGGGCCTGAGGCACGTGCCTGTAATCCCAGCACTCTGAGCGGCTGAGGCGGGAGGACTCCAAGTTCATGCCCGATCTCGGTAACGCGGTGAGACCCTTGCTGAGAAAATATAAGGTAGGCCGGGGAAATAGCTCAGCGAAAGACCTTGGATGCCAACCCACCTACTGGGGAAAAAAGGAAAAGAAAAAGAACGGATAAGCAAAGTGTGGCTTATCCAGAAAATGGCTCGTCATTCACGAACAAGGAAGGAAGCACTGACATCACGCCAGGTGAAAAAAGCCAGACACGAGAGGTGTATGTTTCCACGTACATGAAGGGCCCGTACCAGGTAAAGCCGCAAGATGGGAGAGAGGTTTGCGGGAGACTGCCAGGGACGGGGGTGCTGCTTTGCGGGTGCTTGGGACTGGAGTGACAGTGGATGCGCAACAGTGTGAGTGCACTAAATGCCACCGAGCTGTTCAGAGAGATTCGCTTCGTGAATTTATGCAAATTTCACCTCAAATTTTTAAAAATAGAAACAAATCCATATTTCTGACTTTTTTGAAAACCCACAGGACCTGGTAAGCCTGGGTCACATTCACGAGGAGCAGTGCGGCTGGGCTGAGCAGAGGCCATCTCTCGAGGCGGGGCTGTGCCATCGCGCTATCTAGTGTGCCGTGGCCCCCACCCCGACACTGTTGTAATTTTTGTCATCCGTGCACTGTTTGGTAATTTCTTTACTCATCTCTGTGTCAGGAGAGGGAAAATGACAGGTAACAGGTAAGGGTGATGGGCTTTAAGATAAAGTACTCATTTTTTCTTATTTTTGTTGTTGTGTGTTTGAGACAGTGTTTTGCTCTGTCGTCCAGCCTGGCCTTGAACTATGTAGCCCAGGCTGGGCTTGAATTCACAGTGATTCTCCTGCCTCAGGCTGCCAGGCGCTGGGATTACAGGCGTGCGCCACCAAACCTGGCAAGAGAGAGTGCTTCTTAAACCAACCTGCCCCGTTCGCTCACTTTACCCTTGCAGCCCCCATGGTCTGCGGCACTGACAGTCTAGGCAGTGAGGTTTATCAAGACAGCGTGTAGCCCGCCCTTGACCTCCCAGTGTGAAAAGTCAGACTCTGTGACATCGGAACACACTCGTGAGATGCAGACCCTCACTCAGGGTTATCAGCAGGCACAGCCGGTGAGCTGGACAGGTCACTGGGCTCTTAGCTTGCCAGATACTTCCGCACACGTGCTGTTAGCCTGCGTCACGGATGTGCAGTACATGGGTTTCGGTCACGCACTGGAACGGGACGCTGGGTGGGCCTGGCTAGAGCTGACCGCCCGTTCTGCCCCACCGGGTGTCCCTGCGGGGGCAGGACTCCGCTTAGGAGAGAGGCCCCGGGCGACTGCTTCAGACTCCGTGCCACGGTGGGAGCAGAGGTAGCCGGGCCTGTACTAACGCCGGCTGAATGAGGGCTGAAGGTTCTGCCTCTAGACCCGCAGGCGTTCGGTTGCCTTCAGACGCGCTGACCGAAGGGGCTCCCGGGATTTCGCGTGGTCCCCATTTTTCTTACGCACTCCCTTTGACCGCATTTTAGCTGTGTGAACTCACTGAGTAACGGGCTGGGAGGAGCGAGCCACGCGCCTGGCCCGTGCGGGCCCAGAGCCCCCCGCACATCCTCGGCGGGCTGCGCTGCTGCGGGGCTCACCTCGGTCTCCGGGCTGTAGCAGTGGTAGTAGCCTCCAAGCGCTTCTGCGAGGTTCTTCAGGACAGCCTGCAGGGAGGACGACAGGCACACCCTTCGCTAGATCCACACCGACACCCTCACGACTTCTTCCTCACTAACCCTGCAGCTCTCTGACGCTTCCTGTTTTGCCAACGGGAGAAGTGGGTGCAGAAGTGCTCTGGCCACAGCGTGGGGGTCCTGTCCCGGCACGGAGCCTTAAAGGCCAGCCCAGATCACCGCCAGCAGTTCCAAGAGGCTGTGGAGCGCCTCAGGCTCTTACCGAGGGCACCTGACCGTCACACTGGTAGGTGATGAGGTGGATGAGGAGGCTGCGGCCCGCGGTGCGCTGCTGAATGTAGTCAGACAGAATTTCGGAGGGCTGATCTGGGCTGGGGAAGAGAGCAGAGGAGAAGCGGGACAGTCGGCTCAGCACTTGGAAGACTCTTAAGACCAAACCGACAGTTCCCCGGGAACAGCCGCACATTCTTTCATTTTTATTTTTCCCCTCAGAAGTTACCGTGGTTTGAACTTGGGGCCTTTCCACTGAGCTATCTCCCCACACCCCCAGTTCTTTCTAATTTTATTTTGTTAAATTGCCCAGGCTAGGCTCAAATTTGGGATCCTCCGACTTCAGCCTCCCGGAATGCTGGGGTGCAGGTGTGTGCCACCGCACCCAGCCATCCACTCACTCTTCTTCTGAGACAGGCGCTCACTGGTAGTCAGGCTGGCCTTGGATTTGCTGTGAGGCCCACACTGGCCTTGAACTCACGGCGATCTTCTGGCCCCTCAGCCCCTTGAGTACCGAGAATACAGACCTGTGCCTCCACATCTGGCTTCTTCTACGAACTTTTAATCAACTGCCTGTATCTGAAGCACCTGTGTGAGACACAGGGTTGGCTGGCCAGGTACAGTGGCGCATGCCTGGAATCTCAGCACTCAGAGGCTGAGGCAGGAGGATCACTGCAAACTCAAGGCCAGCCTGGGCTACATGGTGAGATCCTGTCTCAGAAACAACAAAACAATGCAGAGCTGGGTGGACTGCAGGCCCGGCCGCACTGCCCCACTGGTGGGCAGGCAGCCAGTGAACACTACCCTTCTCTCTTTTTTTTTTTAAATTTTATTTTATTACTTCTATTTATTATTTTTTTAACTTTTTTATTTTAAAGAAAATAGTACAGCTGGGTGTGGTGGTGCACGCCTATAATCCCAGCACTCAGGAGGCTGAGGCAGGAAGATTGTTTCGAGTTCAAGACCAACCTGGGCTACAAAGTGAGCTCAAGGCCAGCTTGGATTGCATAGTAAGACACTGTCTCAAAAAGACAAAAAAGAAATAAAAAAGAAAGAAAATAGTACAAAAAAAGAACAATAGTAAAATACAGACAACACAAAGCAAGGACATTAAAAATGAAACAGGGTTTCAAACCAAATGATAGAGATTAACTGTGGTTGTAATATTACATATTATTATCTTCAGTGAAGTTGCTCAGATTGCCAGAGGTAAGAATAGAAGATTGATCAAATCATTAAAGGGAATAAGAAAATAATAAACTAAAAGCACATTAGAGACAATACATAGTTTCACTAGACATGATTGTAGGAATTCACCAATGGATATTACACTGCAAATTGTTGTCGGCACATAAATTGCTCAGATTACCAGATACAAACATGCAAAATTGGTCAAATATTAAAAAAAACTTTCAAATATTAACCGTTCCCCTCAACAAGCCATCAGACACCAACAGTACAGTTATGCCACGGATCCATAATAGACACCCTTCTCTTAGGAATGTGTGAAGTGTCATGCTTGCTGATCGTTTCTCAAACAAATCTTTAGTTCTTCAACCTTCTTCATGAAATCTGTCGCCCGCTCAGGAAAGCAGACCTACCAGCTTCTCAGGACGGTCACCAGGGAATCCAGCCCCTGGAGAGCGAAGGTTTTCTTCAGGCCCTGCAGTAAGTTGCTGCCTCCTTCAGGCTGCAGTTTCTTTACCCAGAGCTTGAGCTCCTGGAGGCTGGGAGGAGACAGTAACAGCAACCTAATCAGAGTCATGCGCTGAGTAACAACTAGGCCACGTTCTGAGAAACATCTCTCAGCAATCTCCTTGCTGGGCAAACATCATGGAGTGTACTTACACAAACCCAGATAGCGTGGCCTACTACAGACCCTGACTCTATACTGTCGCCTACTAAACAGTTGTAAATCAAGTCAAGTTGAGGAAACAATCAAGAGAGGAGTCTGCTGCCGGTGTAACACTGTTTCACTGTTTACAGTAAACATTTTTCATATAAGTGGAAGGAATATTCTCTAACATATCAAAAAAGCATAATATAGGGGCTGGGGCTGTAGCTCAGTGGTAGAGTGCTTGCTCAGCATGTGTGAGGTCCCGAGTTCTATTCTCAGCACTTAAAACATGAACTTGTAAGATAACTTATTTATTATCAGGTGGATGCAGTGGCACACACTGTAATCTCAGTGCGCTGGAAGGCTGAGGCAGGATCATCACAAGTTTGAGCCCAGCATAGGCGATTTAGGAAGAGCCTGTCTCAAAATAAAAATAAAAAAGGGACATAGCTCAGTGCAAAGGCCCCGGATTCAACTCCAATACCACTAAAAAGTTATTTTCATTACAAAGTGTTATGTACTATGCAGAATTGTACGTGCTGCTCCTGTATCTAACTGGTGCTGCGGTAGGTTTGTCTGCACCAGCATCAGCACAAGCATGTGAGTAACGGTGCTGTGCTACAGGGTTCCTACAGCTACAATCACTAATGACGAGAAGTTTTCAGCACTCTTCTGCTCTCAAGGGACCAGACCAGATGTGTGGCCCACTGCTCAACAAAATGTTGCCCAGCCATGACTGGTAGAACTGTTTCTCGGGTTCAGGCCCAGGGCAGATGTTAGCTCATTTAAGCCTAACCATACTCTTGGAGGTGGGTCCTTTTATTCCCTTATTATATGTGAGGAAACTGAGACTCAGACTTAGGACTTACCCTAGGCGGTACTGTAAACATTTGGTAAAACCAAGATTTCAGAGCAGGACTGACTCTAGAGTCTGTGCTTTGGTGCCCTTTTGTTTGAAAATCTGGGGGTGAGTGCCTTCTTCCCATGCCCCCCAACAACTCTCCCAGGAGGCAGACCTTAGCAGTAGGCATGGAGTTAGGCCTCTAGCTCAAAGAGACCTCTGCAAGAAGGCACGTGGCTGTGTGCCTAGGTCCCGTAGGAGCCGGACACACACCACTGGGAAGAGGAAAAAGCTTAAATGGCTCACACGGTACTAGTGGGATAATTCTGCTCTTTCCATGTCTGTCAGCCTGAGCAAAAGAAAACCTCAAGCTGAGCATATAGCTCAGTGGTAGAGTACTTGCTAACCATGCACAAGGCCCTGGGTTCTATCCCTAGTCATGCAAGAAAGAGAAAAAAAATCTCAGGATGGTGCTAATGAAGCTGTCATTTATTATTATACGTTAAGTTGCCTTTATATATATATATATATATATATA